TGGAATCACAACAACAAGAAGAGAGAGAGAGACGAAAGGACGAAGACTTACGCTGTCTCGGGTGCGCGTGAAGTCGTCGATGCTGACGACGAGCGTGGTCGTGCCGTCGCCCTCTGCGGCCGGCTTCTTCTCCTTCTTCTGCTTGCGCTCCTTCTTGTCCTCCTTGCGCGACGCCATAGCTGGTGTTCTCTGCGGTGATTCAGTTCAGCGCTGGAGTTGGTGGGAAGAGATTTTTCTGGGGGCGTGAAGGGCGGCCTCGGGGGGAGCAGCAGGGCGCCCCTAAATACTTTTTTCCGGCGGGCAGCAGACAAGGGAAGCCAGGCAGGCGACGCTTAAGGGCCGGGCTTGGGGGGCTTCGGCGGGCTTTAACTGGCTTCAGCGGGCTTTAACTGGCTGCTGGCTTGCTGGCTGAGCTGGCTTTAACTGGCTTCGACTGGCTTAGCTGGAGTCAGGCGCCCGCAGGTGTAACTTCTAGGCGTGCAGGGCCTGCCGGTCGCTGCTTTGGGGGGGCGCCTAGCCTAGCCTGGCCTAGCCTAGCAGGGGGCTGCGTGGCCTTTAACTGGGCTTCAGTGGCTGTAACTGGGTTTACTTGGCTTTAACTGGCTTTAACTGAGATTAGGGAGGGTTTGGGGGCAGGCTTTAACTAGAGAACAGGCGACAGGCTGAGCTGGGGCGAGTCTCTGGGCGGCGACAGGCGTGCCTTTAGGGGTGGCAAGCCCGAAGGGGACAGCGCAGGCCTGAACTCGGTTGACCATTAACCAGATAAGCAGCGATGGACAGATAGTTAACCATAATCAGAGATGGACAGATATACAAAGTGATAGTCTATTCAGTTTCTATCTATACATATACACTGCAGTACCAGTTGTAGGCCTGCTCGGTCTTCCAAGTCTAGAATTTATACACCTGCTCCTTGGTGTAGCCCAGCTCCTTCAGGATACCAGTCAGCTCGCCCTGGTCCTTGGGGCTCACCTTGTTGCCGCTGACCGCCTGGTACATGCCCGGTGGCCCGCACACAAACAGCTTGATTCCTTCCGTGTTGGGCTCCGGGAAGGCCATCTTCACCAGCTCCTTCGTCACATAGCCCTTGCCGCCCGTCCAGCCCTCTCCCGGCTTGTCCAGCAGGTAGAGCACCTTGAACTGCCGCGGGTGCATGTTCTCCAGGTGCTCCAGCTCCCGCCGCAGCAGGATGTCCTCCTCGCCCACATTGCCGTAAATCAGCGTCACCTGCGTCTTGTCCGCGGGGTTGCTGAAGATCTTGCGGATGAGCTGGTACATGGGCGTGATGCCCGTGCCGCCGGCCACCATGCAGACGTGGCTGTGCTTGTTGGCCTCCCACTCGTACTTGGGGATCGGGCCCTTGAACGAGAGCGGCTCGCCCACCGTCAGATCGTGGATGTGCGTCGACATCGGGCCCCCGGGGTACTTCTTCACCAGCAGCTCCAGGTGGCCGGGCTCGTCCTCGTCGCTCACCGGCGTGTAGGGGCGGATGGTCGCCTTAGCGTCTCCTTCGCCCTTGAACTTGGTCAACAGGGCCGCTGCTCAATCCATTAGCATAACTATATATATATGTATGTATGTATGTATGTATATGTATACGTACAGGCGATGTGAAGGCCAGAGACGCTCTCGCTGTCAGGCAGCTCGAACCGAAGCTTCTTGACGTTATGGCTGACCTCCTCAACTGCCGAAAGCTTCAGGTCGACCCATCCCTGATCACCGCCGGTAAATACTGGCTTGCGGTCCTTCTTGATCGCCGCGCCGGGCATCTGCTGCATCTGCCAGTAGTAGTATCCTGCGCCAGCAGCCACCGCAAGGCCGGCAAACAGCGGAGCCTGCGACGAGGACTTGGGCGCCTCTGTCGAGTACTTTCTGATACCCTACTCAAATTCCATTTATTAGCTTCTACTATCCCTAGTTACATCGTGGGGTCTGAGGAAAGCATACCTGTCTCAACGGGCCGGCCGTTCGGCTGAATCGAGCAAACATTGTGATGAGAGATGGACACCAAGTGCAATTGAGATGTTCTTGGATGGCAATGGGATGCGCTGATGCTGTGTTGGTTGTTGTTGTTGGTGGTGGTGGTTGTCAGGAACACAGACGGAGTTGAAAGATGTTAGAATCAGTCATTAATAATAAGGGCAGAACTTGACCCCATGACGCCATCCCTGCCGTTACAGCTAACTAACTATTGGAAGAAAAGAAATACACAGCAACAATGATATCAACGATGGAGCATTCATATCCACATCTCTCTTACAGATGACAGATGACAGATGACCAAGTTACAGACCGCAAGGTGAACATGAGTAAAACTTTGTTGTTCATTAAGCTACAACATAGCAGCCGTTCATCGATTCAGGGCCACAACGGTCGATACCTGCACCATAACTATCTAGACCCAGATGTCATGTCCCGTGAAACTTGGGATTCTTCTCTCTCATCTGCTTCCAACGGCATGACATCTCGCTAAAGGTCTATCATCATAATACAGTCCGTGTCTTTTTTTCTCCGATCTCTCTTTTGTAAAAAAAAAAAAAAAAGATGCCCCCTTTCCACCACTTTCAACAGCTTTAACTCCCTCTGATTTTGATCCGCGCTTCATAAACAAAGATAAACCCGTTTAAGCAAAAGTAGATGGTCTTGAGGCAGAGAAGAGCTTCTTGTTGGCGGGCTTGGCGACACGGTGAGGGAGAGGGAACTTGAGGCCCTTGCTGAGCAGTTGTTTGATGTATGGGCGGCGGATGCTGTCGGTCTTGTCAATCTCGACGACCTTGAGGATCTATTGTAAATAGTCAGCATTCTCTTCTTCTCTGCTTCTTTTTCTTCCTCTTCAAGTCCATGTAACATACGTGGATGGATCTGAATCGGGCACGGTGGCGAGCGGCCATGTCCTGGTACATGGACTCAACGGCATCGGTTCTGGACATCTCTCGGTACTCCTTGTACATGTTGTGTGTGCCGGAGCGGGAGTCGTAGACAATCCAGATACCGAAGTTCTTGACCTTGAGTGGTCGCTTCTCGTGGATCTATTCCAATGGCAACCTTCTTAGCACAAACACACTCTCCTCTGAATTCTCAACTTCCCGCCATTCTTTGGCTGGGTCTTTTTTATATGGGTTCTTGCTCGTTCATACCACGTTGACAGCAACGATCTCACCGCTGGCCTTCTTGACCTTGCGCATCTTGCCGAGGAAGTACCAGAATCTTGACTTGGCCACGACAGTGTTGGGTGCGAAAATTCTCATGCGGTACAGCTTGGGGGTGGGCTGGGTTTCGGTGGGCAAATGGCGCCCGATCACCTGGTATTCGTTGAGACGCCCTACATTCCACGGTCAGATCGGTCTTGCAGTGTGTATTCCGGTGATGAGAGAGTGCGCATTCAGTCTTTAATTTTTTTTTTTTTTTTTTGGTAATTTTGAAGTCGAGGGATTCGGAGTCGCGATTGTTGGAAGAGCATGACTTACCCATCTGGAAAAAAACAATTAGCAGCGATTCGACGGACGGCAGAACAGTACAGAGGCCTCTTACCTTGAGATATTGTCGTTGCTGTGGTCTTCAACGAGAATTCGCGGTTGAAGATCGAGAAATTGTCGCTTTTTCGTGGTTCTTCTTTAGGGCTGTGGGTTTCGCTTAGATGGGCGAGGCGATGCGCTAGTCCGCTTTCGGGATGTTGGTCTTGGCATCGCGGAACCTTCCAACTGAGCGACTTCAAGGGCGACGTCGAAGAAGGCGAACGGCGATCTAGAAGATGGGAAGCAAAGGACAGCGTGGGGAGATAGAGACGAAGGAAGAGAGAAGATGACAAGATGACGTCGCTATTTGCAGAGTTTAAGAAGGCTCAGTCTGCGGGCTCGGGCGAGGCGCTGGCGGCAACGCTGAACCCCGTCGACATACCGCGTCTGCGGGCGTTCTACAATAGCACCAACAGCCTCAGTGTCGCCTCAGATATCAGATATGGCCTTCTTCAGGACCGAGTGACGGGAACAAAGCTGTCCAAGCAAGAAGGCAACGCCTGGGTCGACATTTACGTTGCCTTCTGGAAAGCTGCCGGAGAGCTGGTAAAGCTCGATGACCCCAACTTCACCCTGAGTGGCAGGGGAACCTGGACGGCTCTCTTTGGCCACTGGAAGGACATTGCAGTCCTGCTGAATACAAACTACTCGAGTTCCACTCTGGAAGCCTGGACTCTGCCCGTTTTATACGTGGTTGGCAAGTATCTGCGGATATTTGCTATCAAGGCCGATGCAGAGGCCGCGCAGGATCCCGCTTCGACATTCAACGATGGATTCCAAGATGACATTGTTGGAAACGTGAGCAAGAATGCAAAGCTGGAAGAGACTTCACGCATAATCAGCAGAATGTACACTGTGTGTCTCCATGATAGGTATGCATTAGATGTTGTTCGTCTTCTTGTCTTTCTATCGTCTGTTTGTATTCTGAGTTTTCTCTTTGTATCTAATAGGGCCCCTATCGAAGAATCTCGTAAATGGGGAGTTTATAACACCATCAATCTTGCGTTTAAGACGTACTTCAAGGTATGCAGGCGATGCACTCTAACCCGACATTGGCTGCCCCTTTTTTCTATCTTTACCTAACAGCTTTACTTGTCTTTCATGTAGCTGGGCTCCATCCCACCTTGTAGGAACTTGCTCTCCGCAATGAAAGCATCCCAGGCCGAACTACCGCCCATGGAAGCCTTTCCGAAGTCTCACATCGTCACCTTCAAGTACTATCTCGGTGTCATCTGCTTCCTAGAAGAAGGCTATGTAGAGGTAAAGTGCCGTCATTCCAGGCTATCATTCACGATTATATCCCTGCTAACGAGCAATAGGCCGAGGAACATCTTACAGCTGCCTGGGAACTTTGCCGCGTGGATTCACATCGAAACAGAGAGTACGTATAAAACTTTACTCAATATCAAAATATCCTCGTCACTGACCAGACATAGACTCATCCTGACATACCTTATACCCTGCCATATCGTTAATACAAATACCCTCCCATCAGCCAGCCTGCTGTCCAGATACCCCCGTATAGAAAGATTGTTTGGCCCACTCAGCCAGTGTATCCGTAAAGGAGACCTGGCTGGTGTCGATGCAGCTATGGCCGGCAGTGAAAACGAATTTGTCAAGCGACGGATCTATCTCCCCATTGAACGAGGCCGGGATCTCGCTATTAGAAACTTATTTAGAAAAGTATTCATTGCCGGTGGGTATGATCCGCCAGTAAACGGTCAGCCACCTATCAGAAGGACGAGAGTTCCGGTCAAAGAATTCGCAGCTGCGATGAGACTGGGCACAGGGAACACGCAGCAGAAATCCAAGGTGGACTTGGATGAGGTTGAGTGTTATCTCTCCAATATGATTTACAAGGTAAGTACAAACCTAGAGGTTTTATTTGCGGATCCGGAATTTGCTAACCTTTGTTGTAGAACCTTATGAAGGGATACATTGCTCGTGAACGAGGAATAGTGGTGCTAAGTAAGGGTGGCACAGCATTCCCCGGGACTGGAGTATAGCGTACTTAGCTACCCTTCAATATAATTAATGACAATAGATATTCTTATAAAAATCAGCGAAAGCGAATTTATTCCACATATCCACGACCCTAATCCGATACAGATACTCTACTTCGAAAACCCATAGTGACGACAGACCCGGTGAAATGCAGTTATTATATTATTTGGCTCATTTATACAACGTGGGAGGCTGCCTCCTGAAATAGCATAGATATATACAAATGACAGCCATGATATATCCTCAATGGTTCCTCTCCACGACCTCGCGGGCGAAGTCTGCAAAAGTCTTTCCAGCTGTTACTTCTTCAGGCAAGTTTGGCTGGGTGAACACAGCTAAAGTATTCCTTGCAATTTTACCTCCTGTTTTGGCACCTTTAACAAAGTGCGGTACAGCCTTAAACTTTCCCTGAGTAATGAGCTCAAGAGCTTCACCAGTTTGGAATGCAATGCAATCCTTTGGTATATTGACCTTGACTACCTCACCAGTCCTAGATCGTATGTATAAACCAGCCTTTGGATCGGGGGATGTTGGCAGTTCAGGCAAGGGGGTCAAGTCGGCTGATTGTTTGGGTTCATTCTCAGCTTCATCAACAAACATGGCAGATGTCAGGCCAGTAAGGCAGCCATGGTCAAGATGAATTGCACACCAGTCGTCATCGTCCATCTCTTTACCACTAGCATCTGTCTCCGGAGCAGGGAAGTAGTGTAATAGCCGGGCTTTAGTCGTCAAACTAGTCTTTACAACGTGTTCCAAATACCCCTTTTTGTAGCCTTCAATGTTGGCAAGGGCATATTGATCACAGGCCCTTGCCACAAGAGCCGCCGTGTCAATAATCAACGTGCATAGTTCAGTCAAGCTTGGGCGAAAGTTAGGTAATTTTTCAGCAGGGGGCCAGATATTAGCTGCGGTGTACTGTGGAAAGTCCGGGAATTCGCTTGCGGGGGCATTTTGCAGGTCGGGGTTTTGATAAAAGGCACAATTGATATAGTACGATCCCTTCAGGGTATCATAATGACCTGAGCGAAGGGTCTCTTTTCCGCAAGACCAGCCGACAAGATACTTGGACTCAGCGGAAGTAAGGGATTCTGGAATATTACTATTATTACGATACCATTTTATGCCTCAGAAGGTGAATTACACTGGCGTACCTAACTCCTCTGGTGACAGTGATGCAACATATGATGCATTGGAGAGTGCCTGGGCTCTAAGGTCCTTGAATTTGGCAGGTAGGTCCTTTACAACGATAATCCCCAATGATGCCGGCCCAAAAGCTTCTGAGAGGGTCTCGAAGGAAACGGTGCCTATACTCACGTTAGAAAAGCAATGCACATGCATTGGGGAGGTATATGCTAGATAGAGCCTCACTTACCTGCTCGGAGCTCCTCCAGGCTCACAGTAACAGGGTTTGCAAGAGTGACTTCAGCCATGTTTGTCTGAGATATTCAAATATGGTTGGCTATGTGGTAGTGGCAGAGCAGCGTGGAGCACGGCTATTCGGTATATATAACGTCTTGCTCCTAATCTCCAATTCTTTTGTGGTTCTCCTCAGTTACATCTCCCATTTCGGAGAGCTCCGATATCCAACTAAGTAGTCAACTAGCTTCGGCATATGTCCTGCGGCTAATTTTTGCATCAAGGCTCCCAAGCTGGCTTCGGCTATTAACCGGGTATAAACGTTGTAGACCTAGATACCCCCTCACCATGAAATGGTAAGCAGTCACTGTCGCTGCTACTACTAACTGTCACTTTCTCACCTCACTTTGCTTTCATCCTCGACTTCCTTCACTCATTTTTGACTTTCACTGGGAAATAGTGACTAAGCAGAAACTCTAATTTCACGTGATATCGAATTCACAACGTCGCGAGATAGAAAGTCGACGGCGAAAGGGAAAAAAGGACGAAGAAGATGCAATCAGCCGTCAAACAAACAACTTGACTCGGAGTCTTACGTTCTGAAGACGTAAAGAATTACTGATCAAATTACGGGAACTTTTGCATGAAAGAGGAGGTTCAACTGGTTCTTGGAAAACGTTCTTAGGGGGCGAGGGGTAGCTCGAAGCATCGTTATTCAAGTGACTGATATCGGGAGCTTGACAGTTGCTATAGTTATTCCCTGATATACCTTGTTGCTGTTGGCTCTGCTTTTAACGATACCTGATGAAGTGACTCTAGCAGCACTTCACTAAGGAGGTTCAAATTTTGCAGGCTAAAAAGGCAGACCCCTTTCCAGTTTACCAACTTGACTTTGGTAGCATTGAGATATCCACGCCTCTTTCTACTCTGTATACTTTTGTGTTTGCTAAAGCTTGACGCGTGCAGAATACACCAGAAGCCAAGGATAAGAAGTGTTCAATATGGACTCGGTGAAATCTTCTGATGGACTTAGTGGTGACAACGCGTCGGCGCCTCTATCTAAATTCCAGCAGCTCTTGCAGAAGAGGACCGAGCAGGTCTTGACTGAAAGAAGAGCTCAAGAAGCCCACCGCGCAGACATGGAGCGCGAACAGCTCAACTATAAACCCCAACAATCCCAACGCTTCTAGCAGATGCTAAAGGATAGGATTCAAAAAGTATTGGCTGAGCGAAGAGTCCAGTCATCCTTTCAATCACCTATCTCTACCGAGTCTGAGTGTAGAGGCGATAGTGAGAGGGTTGCCAGCTCTAGTCCGCTTAGCCTCGACAATGGCACGCTAGAGGAAAAAAGTTCTACTATCAACGCGGTGGAGGGACACAAAGAACCGGAAAAAAGCGACCAAAGCCCACAAATTCAACAGGACAAACCATCAACAATTATTTTGCAGCAGCAAACATCCAACCAACAACGAGCTCGACTCCCTCATATTCAACCACGGTCCGCGGCAGATCCAGGAGAACTCGAACAATTGCCATCGCCTCACCAGGATACTCCGGGAACAAAAAGGAGAATGGATTCTTTAACTACGGTAGCTATTTATCAGCACTCTAACGAAGACTCCAATGCGGCAGTAATGCAACTTGCGGTTCCAGAGACTCAAGAGGCCCAATACACCAAAGTGACGCCAGCAGCTCAGGAGACTTCGGAGCCTCCTATGAAGAGAATTAAAAAATCTACTTCACCAAAAAACAACCCTGCTTGTACCTGTTCGATCTCTACGAAATGTGAGGTTGCGGCTGCCAATGGAGTTAAAGACTGTCGCGCAATTGCACGCCGTGTAATTCAAAAGAGTTTCTCTAGATCGAAATCTGCGTAAGTAAAAGTCGCTCTCATACTATTGTCATGAGTCAATATTGACAACTATTTAATCACAGGGGCACGCGTCATGAGTATATTTCAAAACGGAAACAAACTGAGATTAACCGGTCGAACTCAGAAATACTTGAAATCCTACAATTGATTAAGAAGATTGAAGCAGGAACAGAACTTGAGAGGATCATTCCCCGCCTAAGGGATCGAATCCACTTTCTTGAACTCTACGAGATACCCGAATCATCTATTGAGTCCATGAAAGCCAAATTTCTCGATCCAAATAACGGTCTACCTGCCATCATCAGAAACCATAACTCAATTCCATGGGACATCAGGCTCGATTGTTCCGCAATTCTAAAGCGAATGGAGGAAGGAAACTTCCATGTCGACCTTTCGCGTGGCATTCTAACAAAGAGAACTTTTAGAGAAAACGGAAAAAGCTCAGTCTCTCGAGTTCTTGATAAAAACTACCCTTTCAAGCAGTCTGCCTTTGTTGTTGGAGATAGCCACCTACGCAATGGCCAGTGGTTTCCTTGGCAAATTTGCGCTTTACGCGATGGTGCACATGGAGACATTGAAGGCGGAATTTCTGGAAATAAATTAACTGGTGCCGTCTCCATTGTTCTCAGTTCCTCCGGTGGAGGTGGAAACCAGATGTATGCCGATGTTGACCAGGGAGACACAGTATGGTACTGTGGAACTAGAGGCAAGAATGGAGAAGTCTCTGCAAACACAGCTCTGCTTCTCCAGGCTGCCAATAGGAAGAGTGACGTCCGTGTTCTTCGAAGCTCCAAGCTTCCCAAGGTGAACCCCTACAGACCCTCTGAAGGAATGAGGTATGATGGTCTGTACAAAATCTGCAGCTACGAGATTCTCGATCAAGCGACTGCTCTGCACCGGTTCAAGCTTGAGCGTGTTAAAGGCCAAACTCCCATTCGATACAAGGGACCAGAAGTTCGCCCTACTGCCCGTGAAGTCGAAGAGTTGCGCAAAGCCTACAGACACAATGCTGAATCCAAGCCAGCGAAGGAACCAAAGATGAAGCAGCCTGCTGCTGCACCAGTGGTTGAACAGAAGGCATAATTTCATCGACAGTCTCTTTTTTCTCTTTTATTTTTGTTCTCTTGAGATTTTCCGTTTTTGTATTGGCTCTATGGGTGGTTTGGTGGTTTTTTCTCCATGCATTTTCACATTTTCTTCTATTGACCGTGTTGTATTAAAATTAATTGCTAGCATCGATAAAAATAATAATTTAAATTCCAATGGGTTTATTTATTTTTTGGTTTGCTTACATTGACTTGCACTTGATTATACAAGTAACTGTAGCATTTAATAGGGAACGTAGACAAGTTCCCCAAAGTTCAGGAAAGCAAACCCCTAAAGACATATGATTCCCGAGAGAAACTCCATAGCGCTGTAAACTCCTAAATCCCATGTGCCCATAGCTAAAGATGGCGAAGACTAATACACGATAACAGTAAAGAGAACAAGAAGAGGGTATGAAGATAGCTACACCGGGATAATGCGAGGCCGAAAAGAGACGGTTACAAGAGAAGCTTTCTAGCATCTTTAGCATGGCTTTCAGTTGGACAGTAAGGGCATTTGAATTTGTTGCCTTTACTAATTCTAATGAGTGATTGATGGGCAATGACATGCCCGCATGGCATTAGCATCGGGGGGTTCATGTCTGTTGTTTGTTCCTTGGATACAGGACACACAAAGATAGAATGATACTGGTATGAGTGTGGAAGAGGGATTTCGACCTATAGGAGTGGTTAACACATATACTCTGTATGAGGATGGAAACGGGAAAATCAAGCAGGCTGCCACTTACCGGTAGTTCGTTCTGGCTGGTCCATTCTGTTCGCTTTTCTTTCATGATTGTCTGGAGTTTTAGTAGGGTCGGTAGAGCGATTGCTCCTGCTGTAGCAGCGACGTATAAAGGTGATTCAGCTGAGAGGTTTAGTAAGGCGCAGAACTCGCCTTTAAAGGAGGTTGCAACCCTATCCCAGGAATCAGGATTGTTAAAAATGGCGTTATAGGGAGAGTCTTCAAGATTAGGCGCAAAAGCCATGGCACCCAAAAGCCGTTGAATTTCCAGAAGATAACGTCCCTGAAAGCTGGAAAACTCGCGTCTGGCGTATTCCAACGCCTTTAGCCTTCCCTCTTGTATGGAAATGCCGGCTTCACCTCCTCCATGAAAGAGCCATACAAACTGAAGTTGGCAAAGTTCGAACTCGAGGTTACTTCCTCGAACATACAGGGCTTCGCGATGGTTCCGAGCCCATTCGATAGCGGGAAGAAGGTTACGGTTTTCTGTGAGTTCATGGAGCAACTCGTGCATGAGGAGGAACTGTGTCCGGATTTCACCAGACCGTAGACCTTCGATGTCTGGAATAGCTTCGGACGCCTGTTGTTCGGCTTGTCCCATGGCTGTATCTAACTCTGATTCAGCATGTGTTCTCGATACCTCAGCTAGAAAGGTGTCTGCCGTGGAAAATGCCCCCTCTCGCAGAAGGTGCATGGCCACCGCCCTGTTAACCAAAGCAGGCTGCGATAGGGAGTCATATTCGGTAGTGGGCAAAGGCTTGTCCTTGAATAGCTTTAGAATAGGACAATTAGCATTCCTCCGCATAATTCCGAGTATGTAGACAGCTTAATCGAGCATCCCAACCTTGTCCAGTGCTTTAGTATATTTATTCAACCCGCTATATCCTTCCTTTAGGTCGTTATTTGTGGCTTCAAACGAGGCTTTGATCGGATTTTGAAGCTTCGCAAGAGTGATAGAGGTGGAATTCGGATCTATGAAGAAAGGAATCAAGCGTCAGACGACTGTACAATAGCTAGGTACACCCAGCGGGGTAAAACATGGGGGTAAAGGAAGAACCAACCGTTCTCTATGGTCCTTCGAGCTTCCAGCAGCAAGTCGATAGTCGCCTGAACATCGTTGATGCACTTGGAGGCCTGGGCCTTCTTCCAGAGGCGCTGATGTTCTTTCTGGACCTGGTCCATCGTGAGTGTGGTCGTCCTCTGGCTAACTGCGGAGAAAGGTACTCATGTTCGCCTAGGGACCTCGAGACTCGAGAGCACAAATAATCCTAACTCAGCCAGATGGTTGAACTGCGCCGCAAGATACCGCCAACAGCTCTATGGATAACTGCAAAGGCCTGGAGGAAGCGTTGAGAGCAAAGAAGAGAGAGAAAGCAGCTGGAGTGTTTGGCAGCGGCAGGTCATTTCTTTTCGACGGGAAAGCCCAGGCCTGCAAGCCCGAAGCATGTCACATGGTCAACACTAACTTAACTCCTGCAATAATTCAGAGCAACCTTCAGCTATTGACTTTATGCACACCGAGTTATGCAGCCATTTTGAATATCGAGAACTGCCAGCTCCGTCCTAGAAAGAGATTAGCCGGCTGATCTGATGGGTTGTCTCCCAGATACCGGTCATCTCCCTGCATCTTCGCCGTCCTCGCCCTTTTTCTCGCCTTAGAAAATGCTCCTACAAGTGACATCATCGGCCTTGCCTTAACTAGCTTCTTCCGCCAGCATCTCAAGGACAACAAACAAACGCAGGAGAAGCAGCGGCAGCTTAGAGGATGGCCTGCTATCATTGCTGCTGCTTCGACTTGTCTGCCAACTTGTTCGTCTCAGCAAAGGGCCGACTGAAACAGTGACTGTACGTTGACCGGGGAAAGAAAAATAAAATATAAAAAACACACCCTGGCTGCAGACCGGGAGTACGTCACCGAGAGGCGCATTTGTGCAGTTGTTTTCGGGCCGTCTGACAGGTGATACTTGAAAGAGAAAAGGGGGGAAACCAAAGGGAAATATGAGCATGGATCCTGCTGGAACGACCAGCATTGCTTTAGTTGATGAGCGCTTGGAGCAATATGCTGCCCGTCAAGCCGCCGAAGCGCAGCAGTCTGAGCCTGCGATATTAACACAGCACCCGACTTCTAGCAAGAGTGCCCAGCGTGCTCCATCGAAAGCATCTTTCCAGCGTTTGGTCCTTACAGACCCTGTTGCTTTCAAATATCTAGAGGAAGATCCTTGTGCAGTCACTATCAGCAGAAGATTGAGCATATCTGGATACCAAGTTTATATTGTTGAGCAGTGGGTTTGCTCGAGGGCACACCCCACGTTTGTTATCAACACGTACACCGGTGACAAATCCCACACGGTCATTGCCGGTGTGCTCAGTGTGCCGACGGATGAAAGGAAATGGAGTGAGCGGATGAGAGTCTACTTCAATGCAATGGACCAGTTCCATACTCGGAAGCAGGAGTCTAGCTTTGGAACTGTGATGGTCACGAATCTAAGTACATTTCCATCAATGCTTACTACAATTCCTGTTCAAGATGGAGATGTCGGACTTCACCTGGATGATTTCATTGTTAATGAGAACCTGAAGCGTCTAGGATGCTCTGGCAGAGCTGGTCTTACTGTCAAACCGCCAGCGGCAGATACGCAAGCCAAGTTCCACCAGCTTTATCAAACGTGCGACAAAATTGAACTTAATACCTCTGTCAAGGAGCTGATACGTTTCTGTCAGCTGGCACTCGTAATGTTTCTTAAACTAGCACCTGAATACGCGGATGGGCTTCTCTGCAATCACACAGAACGAGCCATCCATGAGTGGTGGGCCGAAACTGGCTCTTTCCTTTATGGTATCGAACCCCTTGATGGAATCCTTGGCCCTACTACAGTAGCCGCAATTCTTGGAACTTTTATGGGTGCAAGAAACCGCTTACATGCATATGGAGCACCGGTATCCAAGGATCCATTTGATATCCATGGTTTCGAAAAAGGTATATACAGCTTTCAAAAAGCGCAGAGCCTCGAGAGGACACGGAGACTTGATAGTGTGACCTTGGAAAAACTGCATCGGGCGACCGCCAAAGCGGCTAGCGGGGAGGTGGGAGGTTTGCAGCGGGCTGTGAAGTCAACAGTAGCCGAACTTAGCGGTAAAGGAGGAGAAATGGTCATGGAGATGGTGGGAGGAGGCAAGGACAAAGCTGGCATTGCAGAGATTGAAACATATGAGATTGAACGGTTCATACAACTCATTACGGGAGACCATGCGAGATGGTTATGGCGTGGAAAGCCTAAACCCCCGTATGAAGCACGATACGACATTGGAGATGAAAGAATCTTTGCACCAGACAGAGGCGGCGGGTATATCTGGACCCGAAGAAAGAAAGACGATTACCCTTCAAATCGCCCAAGTATTGAAGGAGATCAGAGGAAGCAAACAGACTCTCCAACTGCTGTTGATGACAAGGATCAGCTTAGAGTTACGCTCAAGCGTTCAGTCACCAATAAGGTGTCTGACGCTCGAGCTGGACTCGGTCGGTTCAGGGATGCCGTTGGGCTACCAACTTTACGCCCACACCACCACAAACATTCCAAGGAAAGCGTGGATTTAGACGCAAACCTATCCCCGCAGCTCTTCATGGGGGAGGCTCCCACAAGCACAAGTTCTAAAAATGGAGGAGGGCCCGAGGGTTCTGCTCAGATGGATAGTGTGGCGCTATCAGAAGCTTATCGACTTGAGCCCATGATAGACCAAAAAGGCTACAGCTCTTTAACTCCTCCAGAGCATGGTCGTGCAAGGGCATATGAACCTCTCGTTAGCAAAGAAATATCTTCACCTGACAAAGCCCTTGACTTCAGGGAGGCGGAAGGGGTACTAAGAGGATCTGAAGTAGCCGAGCGAAAGCAAGACGGTGAATACCATGGCCTTATCCCTGTTACTAGGATCCGACGACGTGCTCAGAGTGTGGGTTTACCGGAGCTGGATCGTCTGGTCCCGAAAGATAAAGCCTATCCACGCCGCTTATCCTCTAGCTACGCTGAAGAATACCAACTACGCTGGGAGGAGATAGGGGATATCTACTCCGAGACAATTGACCCAACCGTGAGCCTCGCTAATGCTATCTTATATGAAGACATGATATTTTCTGATAATCAGGAGATTGCCAAAAGGATACGTGAAGTGGGGAGTACCGAAGTAAATTGGGTTGATGAAAAAGTGACGGTGGCGGAGAAGATTGAAAAAACTGTCAAAGCACGGGCATTGGAAACTCAGGCAGAGTATCAAAGAAAGCTGGTGGAATTGAGGGAAATGTATGGAGCTTCCCGCGGCGCAATGGCCGAAGAAGAAGACGTATACATGCAAGTAGCAAAGAATGTTGAGATGATGAGCGAAAAGCTTGACTATGATGTTGATACCCTTCGTTCAAGAATTGAAGATGCAGAGGCTGTCTTGCGTGATTATGAACATGTCATATTCAATCTTGAAAATAGGACTGCATCCGTCCTAGATGGTCAGGAGACTGAGAAGATATCCTGGATGCAATGGGTGCATGAGCTCTGGAACCGCCAACGAAACGGGTTTCAAACCCAAGCACTCAGAGACTTTAACAAGGACAATCCTAAAAACTTCACTGATGACAGTGCAAGGTAACAGACAGCATACGTTCCCTTGGACGGCTTTGTATATACCTATAAAAATTTGCATATTATCATTTATAGATTAACTTCTTAATGTTAACGTGGGTTGAGCTTGTTATATAGAGCCGATGAACCCAAAGAGAGTCATATAACTGCATACGTCCATGTCGTTAAAATATATTATAGCAAAGATAAGTATCACCTCACACATAGTATACATGGTCCCAGCTGCTAACTGGGACTCCCCAAAGATGCTGTGCCCTCTGCATCGTGGAAAAGAACCGTACTCATGACTAAACCAATCCAATTTTGCGCCAATCGTAGAGGAGAGCCTTGAAATATTATCGATGATGAATGATGCAAGGAAGACCGAAGAGAGCTTATTCGCTGTTGTACACCTAGAGACCACTACCCATTCCAGCTGCCTGTTGCTGTTGTTGCTGCTGCATCTTCTCAGAGATTTTAATGTTCACTTCAAAGTATTTGCCAACACATCGATCGAGACAGACGGATTCGCCCTTATTCAGGTCTCCTTCACGGTAATCGGTTGGAATGCATTTCTTGATACAGCCGTTAGTAAGGCTAATAATAGACAAATTAGTACTTTTTCAAGAAATTGGTAACGTAGACAACGGGGACAAGCAAATGCAATTAACCCGTAGCAAAGGCAATAGGAGCATTCATACCGGGTCATCATGTCTGTGACCATCTCGACCTCCAACTCGGCCTGTCTTATCTTCTCTTCGGAAGAGATCTGGGGACGGCCGCCGAACAAGTAAGACATTTTCGCAGAGAATTAATAGCGGCAGGTAACGGTAAGAAGAGAAATGGCTCGAATCCGAGATGAAGCTGAAGAAGTGCTAACTGATGCTGTTAATCAACGGTTGAGCTGCTTTGATTGTTTTCTTTCCGCGAAGTTCAAAACTTTTTTTTGGCTTCAACGTCAAAAAGTCGCAAAGGACGCTAAACCTAATTCAGCCGCCAGCCGCAGCTCTGCTGGAAGCTCGGGATAGAAAAAAAAGACATACAAATTCGATCTCACGTCAAGTCCACTGTCGACGTTCCTTTATTTTCTTGTATATACTTCCCTGGAATGCAGACCGGATGAGCTGATGCTATCCATCTGCTCTAGCCCTCTATCCCAGGTATGCCTGGATAGGTTTCTTGCAAGGTATGTACTAAGGTTATTCACTTGTGGGAGAGAGGATGTAGCTGATATAAAGACCTAGAGGTGTTCGCCTGTCCTCGCTGCAATTGGGGAAGCAGGCAGCATGGAAGCCAATCCGCACGTTTACGAGCCATAGGCAGCTGCTTGAACAACAAGCCGCAAGCCCAACTCAGCAAACTCCGCAAGCCAGAGTCAGCGATATCCAGAAGACCTGGTCGAGCCCATATCCCAGGATCGGCCGCAGCCCACTGTCATTCACATGTGCAGAATTCCGGTCGAAATATGACGTTATACAGCCGGATGAAACGGTAGAAGAGGATACCGTGGTATTACATGGTATGATAATAAGTGCAAACGGGTCTGATGGTGATATTGCGTACTAACATAAAGCCTGTAGGGAGGATACGCTCTCAAAGAACTGCCGGCAAGAAGTTGGTATTCTTCGACCTTGTTCATAATGGACACAAGGTGCAAGTGCTCTGCAACCAGCGTGTGGTAGGGGAAGCTGGAATATCCCCAGAGAAGTTTAAAGAGTTCTACCATCTACTCCGTCGTGGTGACTCTTTCTGTAAGCACGCCATTGCGGTTCAACTTCTGCGTTTATTACAAGCAGCCCCCAAGCTAACATGGAATTGACTTATAGCTGTGACTGGCAAACCACATCGAACCAGCCGAGGAGAATTAACTGTCAAAACGACCGAGCTCCCCAAGCTCATATCGCCGTGTCTACATGATGTGCCCGTCCACCAGAAGGAGCTTGAGATATCTCCATATGAGCGCCATGTTGAATTTCTTTCCAGCCCTAGTGCGGCCAACATCCTTCGAGCTCGCTCGCTGATCACACATTCCATGAGAAACTTCTTCGCCAGCAGGGAATTCATGGAAGTTAACACCCCAATCCTTGCGTCAAAGTCAGGCGGTGCCATTGCCCAACCCTTTGTCACGAGTGCTACCGAGTTCCCTGATCGGCCATTGTCACTTAGAATAGCTCCCGAACTGTGGCTTAAACGACTAGTCGTTGGAGGGTTCGACAGGGTGTTTGAAATCGGGCCTTCATTCCGGAACGAGGGTGAGTGGTGGCCTGGTATATGGCGGCAGATAAAATTGTTGGGAGAAGTGAGTCACAGCTGACAGCATGTCCATGTAGGCCTTGACAAGACGCATAATCCGGAGTTTACCACGTGTGAATTCTACCAAGCCTTTGCAGATCTTGAATCCCTGATCGAGACCACAGAGTCACTACTCTCAACCCTAGCCATTGATGTCCAACAACTGAACAAGAAATTGAACAACTCACTAAGCCCGACAACAGTGAGCTTTACAGGGCCGTATCGAAGGGTTGATTTTATCCCTGCCATCGAGGCGGCGATTGGCAGGAAATTACCCGACCTGCAGTCCGGTAATGCCCTATCACAAGTCAAGGAGATATTTGCAGCCCTCTCGCTCCCGTTACCGGCCCACGAGACTCTTCCCCGGCTTCTCGACAAACTCTGTTCAATTTATGTTGAATCGCAGCTGGTCGAGCCTACTTTCATCATGAACCACCCTGAATGCATGTCTCCGCTATCCAAATCATACCGCCATCCAGGAAATGGACAGATTGTGTCAGCACGAGCCGAGCTGTTTGTCGAGGGTAAGGAGATAATGAACATGTATGAGGAGGAAAACTCTCCCTTCGAGCAGCGACGGAAGTTCCATCAGCAGTTATCCTTCCGAGACCCTGAGAATGCAGGTGAGCTTGATGAGGGATACCTCCAGACACTAGAGTGGGGATTACCGCCCACTGGAGGTTGGGGGTGTGGTATCGACCGTCTTTGTATGCTGTTCACAGGCGCCCGACGGATCAGTGATGTGCTGAGCTTTGGCAACCTCCGGAGTGTGACAGCCACGTCCGAGCCTGGGCCTCCCTCAAGGCAGTGACGGATGCAAGCTGCCTTTCCCCCGTTTGCCGGGGGGACTCGTCTGAAATACCTTGACCAGACATGTATTTATATAATTTTGATACGGACTCTCAAGCTGACAGCCGAATGTTAGCTATCACAACGGCTCTCCGCATCCCTGTACATTGCCACTCACTTCCACATGCAGTCAATAACCCCCGTCAAGTATAGGCCATCAGCCAGGAACGGTGAAGAATGAAACACCTTCAAATACGAGTAATCATCCGCCTACTGTCGTACCTGGGTGGTTCTCTTGAGAAAGGACAAGTGGTCTGGTCTCCACACACACTGCTGCAGCCTCTTCCAACTCATCCATGCCTCCGGAACCATCCCAGCTCTCGCCATCCATGTAACAAATTGAGTTCCGACCACTTCGTACATGATAGTCTGACCTGTCGCTCCGCCTGATGTGTCGGATATGCTGTAAAAGCTGTCGGCCTAGTTTTACTCGCCATGTAACACCAGCGCTCTTGTTTGTCTGCCTGTTGATGTGTGTTATAGTTATGTAATACACTAATATGCAAGGATCATCCCGCCTTTCCCCCTTTTCTGGGCAAAGTGGATCCATCCTTGGTCTCTTACTGGCTAGAAAAAAAAACCACTTTAAATCATGTGACCTCGTGTGAGTCACGCGTGGCTGCGACGCGTCTTTGACCTCATTCGTCGCGTCGTCGAAGCCCGCAAGAAGTTGCTTCCTTGCAAAAGAGTCAAAGTAAGGAGAAAGTAATATACATAAAAAGGGGCCAAAAGCAAGGAAAGGAAAAAGGACGCACATTAGACGCAGTTTGGATACGCCTAGCTGGCCCTGTAACGGCTGGTTTCCTTGTCGTTCGGCCGGTGGAGGTATCAAAGACGAAAAAACCTGCTGCACATCCTGGCATAGACTATCCTTTCTTCCCCATTCAGGCATGGAGACGCCGCAGCTATATAAGTGGCTCTCGCCCGTCCCCGATTTCAGTCTGCTTTTCTCTCTTCAACTGTCGGGCACTCGAAGGGTTTTCTGGATGTTGCTAACCAGAATTTAGGCAGCAAGGCAGCCAGGTTTGCCACTCGGGGACAGAGAGTAAACAGAGGATATCTACCGGGGTGCTGCTTTCGATACCAGACGGACCTTCATCTGTAAACCGACGAAGGCATCATGTTTGTCAAACGGTCTCACAGCAATGCTGAGAGCTTCTCAAAGTATCGAGCCGGCAAGTCCTCGAGTCGGTCAAAGAGATCGTTCAAAGATTCCTCTTTTAGTACCTCGAGGAGGTCTGAGTCTGCCCGCCATTCAGACTCCTCTCCGATTACAGAGTAAGTGACCAACAATGCATTTTGTCTCTGGATCCAGACTCATTTGTTCCTTCAACTACTAGTAACCTCAATTCGGCCATCATCACCATCTGTGTCGGGCCTGACCAGCGTCTCTTTGCCGCCCATGAGGATGTGCTCTGTGTATCCCCCTACTTCTCTGCCTGTTGTCGTGGCCAGTTCTATGAATCCCATACCAAACGCATAAACCTGCCAAATGAGCAACCAGAGATACTCTCATCCATCCTCGAGTATCTTTACAAGGGAGATTATTACCCCCGCTTGATGCATAACAAGCGTCGAGATACTTGGCTGCTGGAGGACACTGATACCACAGGCTCAAGGCCTTCAGCTGAGTCTACCATTATCAACCAAGCTGATGGCACCTTGATACTAAAGGATACTGCTATATAGTCAGTTATCTCGTCCTTCAACTGTCTATATTTTT